ATATATATATAATTGTTTTTCAGGAGCTAACTGAAGACATCCTAGCAGTCCACCAAACATGCATTTAAATAAAGGAGGAAACCTACCCAACCACATACATGAGCAAACCATAAAATATATGGATGTCCTGAAGATGGAATGAGTATTTATGCAAAGTCATTCACAGGCACACCAAACCACGCATGTACGGTTTGCACATGCCAGATCCAATATCTAGACCATAAAGGCAGAGAAAAAAAACAACAAACCAAATACAGAAGAGGTTAAGCATGTTTTTTTGGGGGGGGAATCTGTGAGTTTGGGGTGGGAGATTTGTTAGCGCTACTTAGTAGACTCGCTGGCTCCCAAATGCCTCGTTTCCTGGCGATTTTCATCAACGCAGAACACCGGGAGAGCTAGAGAGATGAAACGTGGGGAGGAGGGCTAATGATGTAAAGTACATTAGAATCAGGCAGATGGTGTTCCCAAGCAACAGACAAAGCCCCCTCTGCTGACACATTAGAGTCGGTTATTATCCTGCAATGACGAACTGGTTTGTTTTTCATGTCTTTTACACAACTTAAATGAGTTCCATCCCTCTTTAAATGGTGAGCTCCTGCCAACACCAGATATCAGAGTCACTAGGGATGACTAAATAACAAGAGACTGAATGCACTGAGCTGTGTTTGCACATATTCAATCTGAAAAAACAAAACAAAACAAAAAAAAACATATGTGTGAATCTACATAATTATATCTAGAAGAGAAGAAAAAAAATATTACCCAACTTCAATTAAAATTTGTTTATACGTTGACTCAGTTCTATGGTAATATGTGTTGGATTGTATTATACTGAAAGGTGTTAATATTTTGTCAACCTCATTTAGAAAGAAGCAGGAATTTGAGATTATAAATGAAACCCTGTCTGTCATAGAAACAGCAGTTAACAATTAAAACCATTGCAATATTATTACAGACTGTAGCGTCCAAGGGTTTTCATTTATTCTGGTCACTGGGGTTCTGTGTGTATGTCTGATACATGCTGGTATGGATTTTTTGATGGGCCCTGTTAGCCTGTACTCATACTTGAAATCTTCTTTGAACAATGCAAACGCTGGTTTTCAGTTATCCTGATCTCTTCGTGAAGTTCAGATGATTTAGACAACCACCACTGCAGACATTTGCAGAACAATCTGCTGTAAAACCCTGCCATACCCAAACCAAGAACTCCATGTATCATCAGGTTCCAACTTGAACTGACAAAGAAAAATTTAAGATGACTACATTTCTAATGACTTACCGGGGTCCAAGTCAAGCTGGCAGAGGTATTGGGAGGTGCTGAGGGTGACCACCACCACACGGTGCCTGAGGATGTCCTCCCTTGTGGGCATCTGGAAAGTGATCTGATTGCCGGAGATGAGACAGTACTGCTGGACCACTGGGTGAACCGTCTTCACCCAGCGGTTCCTGAAGTATACCCTGGAGAGAGAGACAAAAGAAGAAGCCTCAGGAGAGAGACACACAAGCCAGTGTTTCTCCCTCTTTGTATCGTGTTTGGGTGTATAAATCTGCACTAGTTTTGATTCACATACATTGTTAAATTCATTCATCCGTGAGGTTATTGAGTGACTTGTTTGACGTGTGCAGCCTCCCTGAACCTTGCTTTCTCTACATTTAGTTCATTTCGAACATTTCCCCAAATGACTTCATTTATTAAAAAGCACAACAGGACTGGTAGCTGCATGGCATTCTGGTTCATAAAATAACTCACAGCAGCATCCGTGCTATGGTGAATACAACTATATTCCATTATGAGTACAGATGAAACATGTCTGACGTTACCCACTTTACAAGTAAAGGAACAACACTTTACATTAGATGGTGCAATGCTTAACCTACAACTCCTAAAACAACATAACGGTTTTATGAATACTGCAAATACATTTTTAAGACTCATTTTGGTATAAACTTCTTTCATGTCTTTCTTTTTAAATTCACACAAGTACTGAATGTTTTGTGGGGAGAACAAAACCTCAAAAAGGGTTCAGGGAGTATCAGAAAGACATTGAGTGAAAAATTATGAGATTTTCTGTTATCATCTATCCATCTATGTATCTATAAAACACGTATCTAAAAAAATGACACTCTTTATACACCTTCTGCAGGTTACAGCCAGCCAGGCAGGACAGCATGTACAGATTGCCTCCTTGGGTTGTTGGTTAGTTCTAAAGCCCGACCGATATGGATTTTTTGAGAAAGACATACATTTGGGAGGGGAAAAATTAACCGACAAAGCAGCCGATATAATTAATTCTTACCTGGAATGAAAATAGACCAATTTTGCACCAATACGACTATGCTTACTAAGTTATTCAGAAAGCTGCTTTCTTAAATAAATAACCTAATTAAAGAATATTATATATTGTTATGTCAACCAATTCTAGGAATGAACACAGAAAATAAAGAATAAATAAAAATAAAATAAATAGCTAAACATCATTATTGTAAAAATGTCAAGCCGTTTTTACCTTATAAAAAACAGTTATCAAATGGCACATGTAGGATTACGTATACCTTAATACTGATCTGCATAAAGCTAATATCGGCTAACATATCTGTCGTCCGATAGTTAGTCCACTCATCTGAAAAGAGACAATAAGAACTAAGAGAGGAGGTCGTTACAGTGATTATGGAGGAATTCACACTGGATTCCACTGAAATCAGACTGTCCATTCATGTGAAACAAGTCATTTGATTGCCCATATGCTCCCTGGGCTTGTGTGTGTATACACAAACACACAGCTGTCAGGTTAGACTCTGGCTGGTTAAGGCAGACATTGCCTTCTTGTCCTATGTGACCTCTGGGGTTGCTGAAATGTGATTAAAAGTCATTGATGCAGTGTAAGGAAGTTGTGTGTAGTCCGCTAGTGTGTGCGTTTGTTGCCTCCAGGTCGAGTTTTAAAAGCAGGAGAGTTCTTGAGGTCACAAAGCAAATGTCTGCTCGTCACCCCTGTGGGGCAAAACAGCCCAGCCGCTCAACAATCTCTGTATAATAGGGATGCATTATTCTCACTGCAGGCTTTCCAATAATGGTAATCCAGTTGATGTATAGATGAGTGAGTGTCATACAGATGCTCTCGGGCTAGGTTCTGGTCCTAACTGACAGACAGGCCACAGCCGCTGTATACAAAAGATTCAATTTAACTGAAGTTAAACTGTAGTTGTGTTTAATACCAGCAATAATTATTAATAATTAACAAGCAGGATATATTTTTTTCATTTAAAGTATGAGCCAAATATGAAATATGTTACCTTTGGTTAATTAATGAATTCTCTCTGAAAAAAAATTCAGAACCTAACTTTAGAAACCATAGAACTGACCAGTTCAGTGATAGTACTTCCCTCACAGCGGAAAAACCTAGTCTGCTTTAAGGCATGATTGTGTTTAACTACAATGTAAGTGTGGTTAAAGTGCTCCAAATGATTCACAGGATGTAGCAACTTTAAATTTGTTCTCAAGTAGTGGTAAGTTGGGGTCTTAATACCATTATATAGTATATAGTATCTGGCTCATGATGGGTCCGTAACAGCACGGTCGCACAAAGCACGCAAAGTGCTGTACAGTATGTACAAGTGTTTTCTTTCAGAGCACTAACGCATATTTTACCGTTGTAACCGTACGTGCACATGCACTAAGCATGTTTCTCCCCTTAGCCATCATGTCTTCTTTAAGTGTGCTTCCATACCTGAGAGGTCTGGCATGCGGATTGCCTGCTTCAACATAAGGATGAAGGTAGTCCTTAATGTAAAGGTCAGCTGCACTGTTGGAGTGTGTGCAGATCAGGACCCTGTAGAGACAAAAGACAAACAGTGTCAGACACAAAAACACGGTACATACCTGCGGCAAAACTCAGTAGTAAAAATATGAGCACTAACACAAATTATTTTTATGTTTAACAGCAGGCTTAAAGCATTAACAATGACAGAGGGACAGCAAACCCAGTTTTACTTACTTAATTACTTAATACTGAAAGCCATGAAAAACAAATCTCCTATAGTTACCCATTTAAATGTTGAAATATCACAGCGACAGATATATAGAGGAAGCACATATAACACAATAACAGTTATTGACTACGATATATGAGATGTCTTCTTCATTGTTTTAATGGTATGAAGAGCAGGCAGCACTAGTCCAGAGGGGTCACTTCCCCTTGTCTTGGCTTTTAAAATATCTATAATTCATCCTAAAGAATGTTAAATGTATTTTGGAGTGAAATGAGGAATTAATATTACATTGCAACACATTTTTTAAAGGCAGTTTTTTTCTTTTACATTACATACATACAACCTTGTCTCCCCTACTACACAAAACACAAAATGTTAGCTTCTGTTCACAGGACACTGTCCAAGGTATTGCATTCATTTTTCATAAAGACTAGGGAACCATTTGTGTGCTTGTGCTACATCGCTTTGCTTCTAACACAAGAAATTGCAGAATTTCCTGTGGCTATCTGCACACAGCGAGGGAGCTAACTAATGATGAAAAATGCCAATGGAAGAGAATCTTTCAATGTTTTATTGTTACACAACACTGTGTAGCCTCACTGAAGTGACATAACTTGACTGACTGATCAGATTATGGTTAGCATAATCTAACTAACAGTGTGCATTCACCACAAATGAACAACCGAATTCATCCAATCGACCAGCACTGTATACCCTCGAGTACACACGGCCACACAGTACAACCACACAACCACAAGCTTGACACTTTGCAGCTCAGTGTTTTCTTAAACTTTTAATGTCAAACCCAAGGCTGCCACTGCCCTGGAGCTACAACCAAAGCCACTGCACAGCAGCACCCCCTGCCACCTCAATCGCGCCCTTTGACTGACCTCCCTTGCCATCTGAAGCTTTTAGGACAGATGCCAACTTTATGCACACACATACCTGCTAATTACCCGTTCCTTCCCCCAAAACACTCCATTACTTACACTTGATAACACCTATTATTTTACAGCGATTGAGTTAAAAGTGACACCAATTAAATGTGTGACCAACTGTGAGATATGGTCACAATCTTCCATTCTGTTTCTGACGTATGGTGTCAAATAATGGCCAAATAATCAGTTATAATAATAATAATAATAATAATAATAATAATAATAATTTCATCCTTGAGTCTAAGTTTGTGGACTCAAGTTTGTTAAAACTTTGAAGAAATTCCCTCGAGGCCAGGATGGACTGACGGACGTACAGACAGATGGATGACCCGAAAACATAATGCCTCCGACCACGGCTATTATCGACATGGAGGCATAAAGGAGCATGGGAGAAATTAGAATGGATTTAGGGTTGTAAAGGGAGGTGAGGATTTTTAAGAGATTGTAAAGGAAGTCAAAAAATTATGCAACAGATAACAAAAAACAAAAAAACCACAGACCTGCTGTGGTCCTGGCGGAGGATGTGTTTGACAGCCTGTGCCAGGGTGAAGGTCTTGCCGGTGCCGTAGGGCCCAATGATGAGAATTGGAGGAAGGGAAATGGAGACGGGTGTGGTGATGGCCAGGATGGCCTCTTTCTGCTTGGCATTCAGACGGGGATCCAGCTGCTCGTCCCACTGCCTGAGGGCGGAGGGAAGATGGGGAAATTGTTAGAGGAATCATTAGATCAGCTTTTAATTGACATTTTGTTTGTTTTTTGTCTGGAAATAGCCGTTTCCAAGCATTTCGATAAAATATTGTCTTGTAAACAAGTTTATTGAACACGAGAGACACTGTTAATCTAATTAAGTTCAGTGGGAGAGAGATACGGTGGGGAAGAACAATTCTTGCAGAGAATGACAGGAAATGTATGCACACACATACAGACTCAAAATGACATTTGAAATTGTGTTGCCAGAGAGAAGTGTGGGTGGGGTGTCTGGGAATAAGATGTGGGTGGAAGGGATAGGGGAGAAGGAATAGGCAAAGATGTGTATGTGGAAGAAGGACCTGAACAGACAAATTGTGTATTTTATTTGAACTAATACACTCTCCTGTGTAGTAGTAATATGAACTGATGTTTGTTAAATCAGAACAGATGTGTAGGAGGGAGGGATGCACATACATGATTTCATACACGTACTCGTGAAAGTGTGAGTTATTGTGCATGTAGTGTTTGTAAACGTATACGTCTTCCAGCATCACTGTCCTCATTATGAAGCCTGCATCCTCTGAAAGCAGTGAATCCACCAACAACAACTAATTGAGCTCCAGCTGAGATATACTGTAGTTGGTTGGGGGGGATCTGAGAGATATCTCAGCGCTCAATGGTGGGTGTGTGGGGGTGGGGGTGTGTTTATAACAGAGGTTTAACAGTGATATTGTTAGGAGTAACAAAAAACTCTTTTATGCCACCTATACTTTCTCGTCAAATGCAATCGAGGGTGCGATAAACAAACCTTCTCTGTGCTCAAGACTAATATACTGCGCTTTGGCATACGAAACCAAAAAGACTTGACGACAGCAGTCAATACTGCAAGCACAACGCTCTGGTGGAGAATCGAACACTCAGTGTTTGTCATTGTACAGATAAAGTAACATTTTGCCTGGGTTCCACCCTTACCTTAACATGACTAATTGAGACATTTTAATTCTCAATCACTGACTGGAGTGAGAGGCATAGTAGGTCATCTATTACAGAAATGTAACCACATCTGGCTTATTAAGGTTATTAATTCAAAAAGTGTAAACTGTGAGCCTATTTACATATTTTGTATTTAGTGGATAAACAAATCTGGTAGCCGTGATACTATAACACAAATCTAAGAATGTAATTGATCAAACAAAGCAAAAGGTTATAATGTAAAATTATAACCTGCCATTTGATGCCCATCTTGCCAACACTTCTTTTTGGGCAAAGGTACAAGACTTTTAATCATAGCACCATTAAACATTTGTAAAAGGGTTGATGATCTTACTTTCTCTGTATTGTGGGTATGTGAGGCTTACTTTTAAAACCAAGGACCTTTACTATCAACATGAATAGTCAACTCTGTGTGTGGTGTGCCACTTTTTCCATCACTGATCTTGCACAAAAGCAAAATGATTAGTTTAGATGGAGGTTAAGATTAAGATGTGATGCTTTTATTCATCGGAACACTTCAGAATACTTAAATATGCCAAATCATGTGTTTAAAACACACAGCTTTACAGAACCACAATTTTAGGTAGATCATCCTGTACACTGATATTTAAATCAGCCATAAAAGAAACTATGGACTTAAACTAGATAAATTCACTCCATGACCCACATTTAATGAAACACCCTCTCTTTTTCAAATTCCAATTAAAACAAAAGTCTACATCAGTCATATTCTGGAGCAGAGATAAAGCAGCAGCCTTGAAAATCACAGGGGATTATATTTGGCTCTCGTCAATAAAGATTACTGCCTCGCCCCCCTCACCTGTCCCAACTTCAGAGGGAGATATCTAAAGCTGCAAGGAGCTGCCAGCGTTTCAAAATGACGAAAGTCAGCAAGGCGAGGGATAGTCGGTCAACTCTTGAATTGATGTGGTATCCCCTCTGTCAGGGTATTTGTCAAGCTACTAGATGTGCAGGTATTTAGAAATAAGGAATGTCTGTATAATACATGAGTTAAGGATTAGCAGTATTCACTATGCATGAATGTGTATACATGTGAGATACCTGCCAATCAACACTGTTCATCTGCAATATGAAAGAAGGTTCCCTCTTCCACACAACGACAACAACAACAAGATGAAACAATCTGCCATGTGTGCAAAGTGACATTTTATTTTCACTTCATTAGTTTATTTGTATTAGACCCCAGTGTATTAGTTCACAGTGAAAGCCATAAAATATGGAATACAATTTGGATAGATGCCTTCAATGTAATACACATTTCTATGATCAGACTTCAACTCTGAAATGTGTGTGTGTGTGATTGTGTACATGGTAAAATACACACCTGTTGGGGCTCCATGGGATGGTGGGCACAAGGCCAACATCAGGGAAAAGGATGGTATTATCTTTGATGCGATCCAGGGCATAGTGCATCTCACAGAGTGGCAGTCGGTTCAGCTGGAACTGGAGCTCCACCTGACACAGAGAAAATACCAAGAGCTTACTAAGCAGTCAATCCAACCAACAGTTTATCTACCCACTCATCTGAAGACCACGGATACTATGTTATAGGCAATAGAATATCATTCAATCCAATACAACAGCCTGGGAAAAAAAGATTTTGTTCGGGGTTGCATAATACTGGATCAATTGGGAATCATTCATCGTTGAGAATCTACATTTATTCAAAATAATACATGTAGTACATCATAAATCTAAATATTAATATTAATAAGTACATGTGCTCAAGTTAAATTATTTTCTAAATCAACCAATATATGATTATATATATATATATATCTCTCAACACAATATTGCCAGCTGCTCTAGAGCCAAATTAAGATCTAGACCTTGAAGGAAGCCCACTCCCATCAAATTTAATTTAGTTCATGTGAGTCATTTGAAAAAACACAGACATGTATCCACCTATCAATGTCACAGAAATCAAAGAGCATCAACACAAAATGTGGGTGCTTTTTATCTTTTGGCCACTACCTTCCACACAGTGAATCACGATGGTGTCAACATCATGTTTTGGATATTCTTCCCAGTGAGAGGGACAGGGAGACAAGGCAGGGAGCAATGACACCTGAAACATGCTCACCAAAGTGTCCTTTGCACAATGTTGTGTCATGTTTAGTTAGCACTGGGTTTTGTCACAGCTGAACAAGTTGAACAGTTGTCCATTTTAATCGAGCTGTCTTCGGGAAGCTTGGGCCACTTCCATTTCTATTTATTTCCTTTGCTTAAACCAGTTTTATGTAATCACTAAGATTTTTAAACCGAGACAGGCACCTAACAGGTATACTGTAAAATATGCAATGCCTTTAGGATAGGAGTGTGAAAATGAGAACGAGTGAGAAAAAAATACGACAGATAAAAAGAAGCTTGAACACGGTGAGGAGGAGAGTGGGAAAGAAAGACAAAGCAAGAAAGTGAAATAAACAACAAATACAAGAGCAGGAAAGTCTGAGATATGTGACAGCAAGAAGAGCATGAAACGTCAAGGATTTGGGATATTGTAAGGACCCACAGAGGAGTTAGGGAAATCAAATTGTAGCAATTATGCAGGCAGGAGCAGTGAATGCAGAAGAATAAGAAGATTATGCTCCCACAGTGATAGGACGAGGGTTGTTTTGATAACTGTTAACACAGCGCCTTGTTTCATTTGTCGACATTCAGGCTGGAGGGAAAAAAATATGAAGCTGAGGCTGGAGAAGGTAGAGTTATTCAATAAAGGGAGATTTCTCAGAACCAGAGAACCTGAGACAAAACTGTTCAGTCAACGCTCACAGAGACGCAGAGGCACACACCAATTCTCCTGTCCCGTTACCTTTTGTTAAAAGGTACCATATGTAAGATTCTGAAGCACTTCACATATCATTTTTTATTTATGAATCACTTTTTTTTGTGAATGGGTTGTAACAAAACCTAAATAATTAGACCTTCCCCGACCTTCTCGGTTGCCTGTGGACGGATTTTTACTTCTCTCTCTGCTTCGCAACAATCCAAGCCAACATTACTGCAAATCTTATGTTGTAATATTGTGATTTTAGCTAGCTAACGTTGGCTTGCTTACTGTCCCAGGGCTGGGTTGCAGCAGCTAACGGTATTGCTAGCAAAATACTGGATAGTGGATATATTGGTTGGCTGACATTTGTTGATTTGTAAACCACAAACTAGTCAGTGGAATTTCAATGGTCCAAATAAAATATTGGAACATTGCGGATAGGAACGTAATTCTAACTATGACTGTAATTTATTTTCCAGCGTTCAGCTGTCTAGTGTATGTCACTTTTGCCAATACCCAGGGTGATCAATGATGCCAACGACAAGGAGAATGGCAAGGAGTTCAAGCAACAGGACACTGACTGCAGTTCACTTAGTGGCCACTGGTGCAAGTATTAACAATGACTTTCAAAAAGTGACATATAGAACCTTTAAAAGCCTAAACAACAGGTTAACTTTTAACCTTCAAAAAGGCGAAAAATGTTGGGGTGGAAACAATCCAGAATGGATGTTAACTAAAATCTCTTACGGTGTACTACAAATTGCATGTGTTGAGATCATTCCCCTGCCCTTTCCACAGTGACAGCAAAGCGAAGATGCCTCCTGCATGACCACAGAAGTGTCTACTCATCCACTGATTCAGTCCATACCTGTATTTCTCTGTCAGGTATTAGCCCAAGCTCCTCACAACAGTCCTTGCAGATCCTCAGGAAGATGTAGTCCTTGGTCTTTTCCTCGATCACAGCCTCATAAACTCTTTCCTTGACCCCAGGAGGCGGCTGGCTGTTGAACCCCTCACGGCCCAATGGCAGCACCAAGACTGAATTCACCTTTGTCATCACAAGTCGCCCGGCCAATGTGTCCTGAGGTAAGAAAGGATAAAACTGTTCAGGAGGGCAAGCTAGCTGACTACTTTGGGCTCTGTGTGCCATCAATAAGTAGTTACAGTGCTTAATTCAATGTTGTAAGTAGTGCTATTGTCAATGCAACCAATCCATTTACCTCAGAGAGTGTTTCAGTGAGCTTGAAGCGTGCAAAGAGCTGTCCATTCTGGGCATACTTGGCTCCAACAGAAATGCCAGTCAGCATAAAGCTGGTGACCAGCTGGAGGTTCACTTTGATGTTAAACCTGGGGGAACAAATGGGGACATTTGGTTATACTGTTACAGACTTCTTGCTTGAGCTTATATATCAATGTAAAAAAAATGACAGCAATCCTGATAATGTTCGGTGTTATGAATAAACTAGTACGCATATCATAATAGGTTTTGTCATGACTGAAGCACGTGTATGCTTCCTTTACTGGTGACATATGTGACACATGGAACTGTTCAGTCTTTTGCAACATATTTATATTTAAGTTGCTTTATATTCAAGCTTTGGACAATTATTCATTTGCTCTAAGGCTACATTCACACTGCAAACTCAGATCAGATTTTTTGTTTGGCTGTTTACATTCTTTTTTTAAATGTGGCCAATATCAGATTCGAGTGTGTACAGGTCACGGTCCAGAGCTGCCAGCATGCGAAAAAGAACGTCATACGACATCACACGCAGCACACTGTCGTATGGAAGTAAACACTGAAGTCACTATTCACACTGAGGTGGCATTGCAAAAACAGTGGTCCAAATCAGGATTGGAAATGATCACATTCCATGTGGTTTGTGTTGTTCCCAATTTCCTTAAAAAAAACAGATCTGAATCACATATGAGCAAAAAAAAAAAATCTGATTTGGGCTACTTTTGCCTGCAGTGTGAATGTAGCTGAAGAGAACTGGTCTGGACCTTCCATTTAAAAACAAAACTGTCTTGGTCATGAGCAATACCAGACCCATTCCAACCCCAGACACGCCTACTGAAAATGTGTGATAACAGGTTTCTCTTAGTCCTACCACATTTTAGAGTGCAGCATGCATGCTTCAGGTTTCACCATTCTCTGAGCTTTGATTTACTATAGTGGTTCCATAATTACATGCATACAATTCCCTGATGCTGGCAGAACATTAAAAATCAGCTGTACACTGTTAAGGTGAATATAGATTTGTGACATAACTTGTTGGTATGTTCAAACTGCACAAGCATTTTTTTTTATTTTTTTTTAAATATGATTAAAATGGGTTCCAAAGAAACTCACTAACAGTTACTTAATAGCCTTACAAATTCTCTAAAATTTAAGGTCACCTGAATAAATCACTGTCAGCAAAGAACCTACAAAAGCAGCCCAAGTGTTTTTAATATGTCGGTCCTTCAAAGAAAACCAACATTGGCACAAAGCTTATCCGTGAACATATTTTGTGGAAAACTCAAGCACTTTGGGAAAAATATTCAGTTCAGTTCCAGATTGTTTAAGATTGTCTCTTTGGTTTCTGCCTGATCTGAAATGATGAAATGGAAAGCAATACTGGTGATGAGCTCTGATGGATGACTGGCATACGCAGATAAATGAAAATATTCTTTATTTATCTGCAAATCAATGGTGTTATACAACCAAAGGGACTCTTGAGGGTCCTTGTTATGGTTTGCGTCAGCCTTCTGGCTGTACTCTCAGAGAGGGAAACATTTAGACAAACACACACAGCAAGGCACTCTTGGTTCTCCATGACTCACTCCATGTTCCCTTTAATAATCAGGTGAAGCCTCTTGACCTCCTGATAACAGACTGTCAAATAGGAACATGTCACTCTCAAAAATCTGAGTGAGATTATTCAGAGAGAAGTATTTAAATTATAAATTGCATTTAAATGACTGAAATAACCTTCTAACAACAGTACTGTGTGCTAGGGGATCTGCCAAAGGCAGGGAATCCACACTTAACCTGAAATCTCCTGCTGAAAATCAGTCAGCCATGAAAAGCATAAAAACCTGCCAGAACATGATTTAACAGCCAGAGGGATTATTCATATGCACACTGGAAATGTAGGAGACTTAAAGACGATTTCATATAGGAGGTAATATCAGAAAGGAATCCATAATTCAATTCCTTACCAAATCAAATGACACTGAGAGAGATCAAACTGAGAGAGATCAAACTAAGAGCAAAGGGGAAAGCTGAGACATTTAAATTGTGGGGGAGGGTCCATGTTTCTGCCATCACTGAATATAGGATTAAGAATTTCCTGTGATTTCACCTGTAATCAGGAGTATGCTTAGTTAAACTAGTGGAGCAGCAGATAGGGAATAAAAAAAATGGAAAGGTTTGTGTCCATTCTAGAGGGAGAAACCTTTCCTCACCTACCTCTGAGGAAGCTTTTGAGACATATCTTATTAAATGGCCCTGGAACTGTGAGTCAGGCTGTGTGCGAGATACACACACTCACACGTAGCAAATTCAACATGTAGGTCAAGCCTGACACCTTGTGGTGGGTTGACGTTTCATAAAATCTTATTTTTTTTACACCACTCAACCTCAGACAAGGTCAGATTACAGATAATCAATATATAAATCAATTACATTGATATTTATAAATATATTGAAAAGAACATCCATCCATCACAACCAACACCAGCTGTTTAATGGTTTTTGTGTCAAGTAAGGCAAGACCAACACAACAAGAAGTTATTTATAATGTAGAAAAAATATCTGGTATGACATTCTTTATATTATCTATTCATTTTTACTGATGCACTTGAAATTTAGTTTTTTTATCTTTCAGTGGAGGTGGTTGAGAGTAAATGGTAAATCACTCAGTGATGGCAAAGTCCATCGAACAGAAACTAAGTCATTCATACACATTCACACACCAATGCTGTACATCGGGAGCAATTTGGGGTTCAGTATCTTGCTCAAGGATACTTTGACACCCGCTATTTGTATTGGCATTGCTGGGCTGTCTTGTGTGTTCTGTTGTATATTCTTTGCTTTCCAGTCTGTGTTTCGACACGCTGGCAGGCAGGGAGCCCGGGGGATGAAACCAACAACCTTCTGATTGGACGACCCGCTCTGCCTTTCTGAGCCACAGGGCCGCCCCCCCAGTCTAGGCTCTGCCAAAAGGCATACTTTCAGCGATAGCGTTCATCAACAGTATTTGGCCCCCAGCATGAATTATGCTGTCAAGCTTCAGAATGCCTATAGAACAGCGAAGGCCCTATGGGTTTAAATTAGCAGCTAACTTTGTAGCGGACATATGAAGTATACATATGCTGATCTGAATTTTGGGAGCGAAACGCCAATCATATTTGTCACGCATAACAGTTCTATATTATTACAAAAAAACAAACACCACTGATATACTATTGCCAGGCTTTGAATAAGTCCTGTATGTATGTGTTAATCAGGTGCGAGCAATTAGAATCTGGGTAGGCTTTACCTACCAGGAAACAGCTAACATCACCAAGGCAGGCTGGTCTTTATAATGTAAGCAGATAGCCCACACAGCCTCGGGCGCCAAAAATCCTGTGATAGGAATTGATTTGAATCTCCCCCTCTTGCATGTTTTTTTTTTTTTACTATTCTCTTTCCCGCGCCCCCCAATATTGTGTTCTCTATATATATTATTTATATATTTCTCTGTTATTGTCTACCTAACTATATATTCTATTTTTAATTTAGTTCCCTAATTTATTGCTCTTTATATAATTTATATATGAATTTGCATTAAAAAAAACTCTTTATAAAAACACTAGAGCTTTTGTTCTCTCCTTTTTGGTTTATGTGTATTTTCTTATCTCTATGTTTTATCTCCATTTTATGTTTCTAACAATGGGTTCAAACCCAGAAAATTCCCTTAATTTTATTCAGCCTGTCAATGATACCATATCCCCCTTTCGCCCGCGCTGGTATCAGCTTCTTGTCTGCCGTTTAAGCTGTCATGGATTGGGATTTCTTGTATGTAGTTTTTGTTCGATATACTTTTTAAGAATCTGGGTTTGCTTTTCAGATGTATATAGTATTAACCGCGTAGAAGGATTTTACATATTAGACTGCGGTCTTAACTTATCAGAAACAAGGCTAACATTGAGCCAGCCAGCTCTGCCGTCTCTTCTTGGGGACGTCAACGAAACTTTGTCTGTTGTTTTTGGATGTTTGGAGAGACCCCCTAGCAGCAGAAATTACGACTGAGGTTTAACACTGACTGTATCAAGATATACTGTGTATGTTAGCCCACGTTGCCAAGAAAATTGTAATAGCATTAAAGGCTGCATTGCGCCGCTAGGTATGTTTAACCCATTAGTTCTTCTAAAATCATCAGTTTATACTACATTCTTGTTCTATTTGTGTATTTTTTAATATCACAACTTATTTTCTAGTACATCTTTTTTGTTGAATATTTTTGGCTTGATATATTGTGGAGCTAGATGTTGGTTAACTCTCAAATATCGTATTGCTTCAAGCTTTATCTGCTTCAAGCCCTCAGAATGACTGCTACTGCCGATGGCAAAACTTACTTTACTATCCCAGCTAAGGAAGAAACCATGAACACTTGAATACTCACTTGTAACTTCTTATATGGGTGCAATCTCTCTCTATGTGAGCAGGCTCAATGCAGCTACACTGAGTATTCTAACTGAGGTTTTATTGTTGTCTTTGTGGTCAAAAAGTTCATGATTGTCCACGCGAAGAACTGACTGGCGTGGTGAAATGAAGCTGGATAGTAATCTGTGAGAGGAGGAAAATTGGGCCTTCACAGGAGGGGTTCTTAGGTTG